TGGATCCCTATCCTACAGAGAGGTGGTTGGTGTTTCACTTAGTAAAGCACAGGCTCAGTGAGGCTCACTAGTCCAGCTGCATGTGCCTCTGTCCCTGTTCAGAGGAGTCTGTTAGGCTGGAGCCAGGGCACAGCAATTCTCATTCCAACCTGCAGTTTGTGGATAGAATCTACCTGGGGAAGGTTTAAGTCCCCTGCCTTTTTCATTAGGAGCACTGGGGAAACAATACTTGAGAGGTGGCAACCATCAGCCAGGGAGTGTATGGGAAGAGACAAAACATGCTAAGCTCCTGATTCTGAAACAAAATGTGAGCATATGGTAACCTGCTGTGCCTGAGCTCAAAGGGATTTCTCCTGTGCTTAAAGTTAGGTCTCCCTTTAAGCCTCTGCTGTATCACATCTCCCTTGGTTTCTCGGTGTCTGCTCTTGGGGATAAGCAGCTGGTGAGGTTTTCAGAAGTGCCTTGGCAGGTGAGACACCTAAGCACTGAAGAAATCAGATCCACTGAGCAGAGTACATCTCCCCTGACCTCAGCCATCTGGACGTGGCATTCCCAGTCTAGCAGCTTAAGCCCTATCTCTGCTTGGTGCTGAGCAGAGGGAAGGCACAGGGGGCAGTTCACACCACTCAGCACACAGCAAAATCCTCACAAACCACTGGAGGGACTGAGCAGGCCTGAGGGACTGATCCAGATTAGCTGTCTGGTTCCTGTAGAATAAAGATAAATGTAACAACTTAACTTTACATATCCTAACTTAACAAGGTGTCTGTGTAACTGCAGCGCAGTCTTGTTAAGTCCCTGTCACTGGTCTCACTAAGTCACATAGCAGCAGAGTCTGTGAACCAAGTCATGCTCTTCAGATTCCCATTATTGCTTGTTTGTTTCTTTTCTCATCATTTGGTTTTGTAGGAAATACAGTATTAGCAAAGGAAATGATCTTTTGATGTTTAGAAAATTGTCTTACAAACAGCTTTAGCATCTATTTTTGCAGCCAGCACAGAGATGCACCCACGGGCACTTCCCTTGGATTCTTGTGGCTGGAAGCTCTGATATTGGTGCTATAAAATGTATATTTTGGGAGAAGATAATCATTCCCCTTCAGCTACTGTCTCTGTTTATGCTTGTGATCTGACTCAGCAATCTGCCTGTGATGAGCAGATCATATCAATAAGTGAGGTAGTTTTTAATGTGCTCTCTTCTAAAGCCTTCTGAAAGTATGAACAAGAATCATAGAATCATAGAATTTTAGGGTTAGAATGGAGCTTAGAGATGATCCAGCCCCAACCCCCTGCCCTGGGCAGGGACACCTCCCACCAGAGCAGGTTGCTCAAGGCTCAGCCAACCTGGCTGTGAACACTGCCAGGCTTGGGGCAGCCACAGCCTCCCTGGGCAACCTGGGCCAGGGTCTCACCACCTGCACAGGGAAAACTTCTGCATAATATGTAACCTCAATTTCCCTCTTGCAATTTGTGCCCATTGCCCCTTGTCCTGTCCCTGCAGCTCCTAACATAGATCCCTCTGCAGCTTCCCTGGAGCCCCTTCAGCTCCTGGAAGGTGCTCTGAGGTCTCCACACAACCTTCTCTTCTTGAGGCTCAACAGCCCCAACTCCCTCAGCCTGTCCTCACAGGGGAGATGCTCCAGTGCTCTTAGCAACTCCTCTGCACTTGCTCCAACAGTTCCATGTCTTTCTCACATTGAGGACACCAGAACTGTGTGCAGTATTCCAGGTGAGTCTCAGCAGTGCAGAGCAGAGGGGGAGAATCACCTCCCTTGACCTGCTGCCTCTGCAGCCCAAGACACAGTTGCCTTTCTGGCTTTCTGAATGTTTAACAATCATAGATGACACAGTTTAATCCTCCTTATTTCCACTGCATACTTTGGGTCTCTCTTCCAACAGATGATATTAAGTTTTAAGTACAGGAAGACAAACAAGCTCTGTGTGTTTGCTCATTTTATGTTGTCATTTTCAGTACTGAAATAATATGAAAAAATCTAAAGTGGGAACAAGTAAATTCAGTGGGTTTTTTTTCCATCAGCCAAATGCAGATTGCATGGATGACATTCCTCCAGACCTGGAAGCATCCATAGGAGGACCACCCACCAACCAGATCACGGGAGCCAGCGACATAACGGTGAACGAGAGCTCTGTCGCGCTGGACGCCCCGGCACGGACCCTGGGCGTGCTGCAGGTCATCCAGGACGTGGACTCCTTTCCCCAGCCTGGGGAGGGTAACTTCACTACGAGCAGTAAGTTCCAATTCCTGGCAGAATTTGCGCAGAAATAAGTGTTTAGGAGCCCAAGTCCCTACCATGGTGCGGGAGAAGTGGCCTGTGAGGGCTCAGCACTGGAGCAGAGCACTGGTCTTGCTTTGAGCCCAGCAGGAACCTGCAGGGTAAGTAAAGCTGAGTGTCATGTGTTCTGTGCTGGATTCAGGGTCAGAGTTACTGACACTGCCACTTTGTACGAAGGAAAGGAAGAATTTGTGGTGTTTTCAGTGTGTTTACCTTTCACTTCTGAAAAGGGCACCATGTGGATGAGTAATTCTCAAAATGTCTTCATGTCTCTCTGTGCCTAAAAATTATGTTCTTTATTGAAAATCTCCTTCTGACAGTTTAAAAAGAATGTTGTCAGCTGCTTTGAGTGAGGACTCTGCTAGCTGAAAGTTCTCATTTTTCAGTAAAATAACAGATCAGTAGAAAATACCTATGTTTTGTACCAGTTGGTGTATTGACAAGGCCATTGGAGAAAATCATCAGATACACTCGGAGGTAGAAGAATGTGATGGTACAAGTTTGTGTATGGAGTTAGCACAGGTTCTGGAAAAAATACACATCTTTAACCATTTCTAGGTACTGCTATGGGCATGGAAAAGAAGACAAGTAACAATATGATGTGTGTAAAGTAGGAGAGAGATGATGAAACTAGGCTGGAGTGACTTTACATTAGTTTCTTTGCTCTGTGGAGAGACTTGATAATCACATTTTCCCTCACATTACAGCCAGTGTCCTGGCAGTGAAAACAGCTCCTGGACATGCTGGATTTGGGACCTTAGACACGGTGACCCAGAAGGGGATTTTTAAGTTATCTTTTGTGGATTAGGTTCTGGTTTCAGGGTTGGCCCTTTTATGGTCTGAGTCCTGGATCCAGCAAGGCTGAGCTGCAGGGTTCTGAGCCCGGCCATCCTCCACAGCCAGCCTGGGGACATTCAGCTTGCTCAGGGCTCCCTGAATGCTGGCAGGAGCTGGCCACAGCCAGGTGGGATTTTGGTGCTTCTAGTAATTGTTTCTCAACGCATTTGAGGCTGATTTAAACAGTGAAGCAAAGGTGGTCCCACAGTGTAACAAAGCTACACACTGGTCTCAGCTGGGTCCTCTCAGCACCCCTGGAACAAGTAGCTCTCTCACAGATCGTGCCCTTGCCCTGCTGTTGTTTGCAAGGAAGGGGAGTGGTGTGCCCTTCACACACAGCTGTGTGCCACCTGCTGAGGGTGCCCAGGTCCAGTGCAGGGGCAGCCCATGCTGTTCACCCCAGCACCCTGACATGCCAAGCAGCTCCTCTGGCTCCTCACCAGGGGTACCAGTGGTGTCGAGGCTGCGAGGGAGCACAGGAGCTCAGTAACTCTCCAGACACTCTGCCCTCCAGTTTTGTGTCCAGAGTCTGCAGAAGGAACAAACACGGTTTTAATTCATTTTCCAAGTTGCCAGCTAAGTGAAGTAAGTGGGTGAAAACCTTACTCCGAGCCAGCAGAGCTCTGCAGCTTCATTCTGCCTGCACATAGGCAGCCCTGGAGCATCAGGAGATCTGCATCACCTGAACACCCTGGCCTTGTCTGGGGAAGGACTGTGTAAAGGGTTTTCCCTGGTTGAGAGAGAACAGGAGAAGAGAGCAGGGAGGGAAAACAGGCAGGTGGCCTGAGCTCTGTGAAGACTGTGAGCCTCATGCAGTCTCAGGGGTGAGAGGCCTTTGCAGTTGCTTTGTGAGAGGAGCCCTGAGGAAAGCTGGAAGCACCTGGGGGCCTCCCAAACCCAGGTGTGTGCCTGCCCGTGCTGTGGCTGTCTCATAGGCTCTCGGGGAACTCTGGTTTGATGCTTGGTGAGCTGTTGTCACACTCATCATTGATACGTAGACACAAATCTTCATCTGGAGTTCTCCTCTCAAAGGGGAATGTAACACTTGACTGTTTGTCAGTGGTAGATGTGCAAGTTAAATGCTCCCATCACCTATCCAAAGTGGTGCATTTTGCAGCAGCTCCCTGAAACAGCCCTTTGGTCCCTTTTTGCAGCAGAGCTGCAGCAAAGAGATCTTGGATTGGGAGTTAGGGGCTGAGTTCCAGCAGTGATGAGATGGGAATTTGTCTCTGCCATTGCCTTATGTGGATTTGGGGTGTTCAGGCACTCCGGAAGTTAGAACTTGGCTGCTTAGGCAGCCTGAACTGCTCAGCTGGTGAGAGGGAAACATACAGGGCCTCAGCTATGCTGTAGTATGAAGCAGAGTGCTAGCTCCATCAGAGGGCAGCTGCAGGCTGAATAACTGGGTCAGAGCTGTCATAATGGATGGGACTTCGCGGGCTCTGTGGCTGTTTACTGTGTTCCGGCATCGTATTTCTCATTTCCAGAATTGTCAGTTACACAACTGCAGAGCTTGCTGGGTGTGCCCTCTGTGTGAGCTGCCCTGCCCAGGAGTTTGGGAGCAGTTGCTCCTAGGAGTCTCTGGAGCTGCCAGGTTCTGGCCTCTTTGTATAGCACTAGTGACAGGAGCCTGGTTCGAGGCTGAATCTGTGCTGCTTGGTTTTCTTCCTCTTCTTACTGAATCTGTGCAGGCTCCAAGGCTCTGCTGAAGTCTTGATGTGGCAACCTGTACCCAGCACGAGTCCCTGCATCCTTCCTTATCCCTCACAAAGCTCAGTGGCCCAGGAGGTGAAGGACTTGCCTTCTTCTCTCTACCCACTCCTGCAATACTTTTCCCTTTAATTGTTGTTGCATCCCTTTGGTCTGTTGATTGATCATTCTGGTATTGTTGTCTTGGTTTGGGTTTAATTTCCCTTTCTGCATTTGCAGTGACTATTCAGAGCCAGAAGAGCTCCCACAGTGTGTCTGGAGGGAGGATATTTCCAGAGTGTTGTTCCCATTGGGGGAAATTCTGCCTCCATGGTGGCAGAGCTCCCACCTGCTTTGGTGGGGCCACATTTTAATCTCTGGAACTCAACCAGTGCTTTTCTTCTCATTTCTGTCTGTGTGCTCAGCAGACATTTCTTCTCCTCTCCTTCCTTTTTGCTCCCCATGCTCCTGAATGATAATTATTTCCATGGGACCCTGCAAGGTGCAGTGTGCTGTGAACATCTGCATGGGAACTTGATTTGGGGGCCAGTCCCTAGGGCTCCTTGCTAAGCCAGCATCTCTTCAGCAGCACTGACACATGAGTAGCAGTTTCTCTCAGCTGTCTTCTTCCACCAGGAGCCAAACCTTCCTCAAGTCCCTTGGGCATATCCATAGCCCAAAGTCTGTTCAGGATTGCCATAGTGACTGTTTGCTCTCTGGTAGGATTTTGTGTAGGATCCTGGGATAGCATCTTGTAACATATTTCTGTAATCAGTTGCTGAAAATGGTTGATGGAAAAAGTGAAAAACTAGAGTTGGAACAAGAAAAAGAGAGGGGAGAGGGTGAAAAACTGTGAAATATGTAAGAGTTCATCTCAGCTGAGGTTGCTGCTTTAACTGTATTACTTTTCAGCTCTCCAGGAGGTATGAAAGAAGATAACCTAAAGATCTTTTTCCACAATAATTCATCATAGCAATCTGTGTTGCCTAGTTTTTAGTAGTGAGTTATGCAAAATGCTAACATCCCTGGAAATCTCAGCACAGGTGGAATTTCCTGCTCTGCAGATTGTGTGGGTTTGAGCTGGACTTGGCTAAGATCTAGGCTGGAAGACGCTCTGAGCTACACCAGCTCTGCAGGGAGGACTTGGGATTCCAGGAGGACATTGCAATATTCCTTGGTTCACGCACAGCTGGGACTGAGTGATATGGTTAAAAAAGGTAGTTTTCTGGGCAAGTAGCATCTAGGTATTTGAAAGGTGGTGTGGTGACACTTGCAGGTGAGAAGTAGTTATTAATTTTTTCATCTTTTGTAGCCTCCATGGCCATTCACCTCCCTCAAGCACTTGCTGATTTCTGCTGTGCATAACGTGCACTGTGTGAGTCTTTGCCCTCTCTTCCTAAATCCTGCTGGTTGTTCAGTTTAGACAAGCTTTAAGATTCCCTTTAGTGGGATGTCTCATCCCACTGCATAAGGCCTCGAAAATCCCACTAGAGCTATCTTTGTGGTTGGAGGAAGATCCATAAATAATTCTGTGGCAAACATGGGCAGCACTTTTAATAGGAGAACTCACAAACTCTCCCCCAAGGTGAAACATCACCTGTGAAGTCCCTAGAGTGTGCTGGACTGTAGAGCAGTGTGGGCAGTCCAGAGAGTACCAGCAGTTCCTCCTCTGCCTCTCGTTTTGTGCTTTCCATAAAACCCTGCCTGCCTACAGCTCCTCGTGACTGTTGGGACCCTTTCAAAGCTCTTTGATAGCTCTTCATGAAATCTATTAGTGTAACTTCTCAAGTAATTATTTTGATCTGTGTGTGTCTAAAATGTCTTTGTGAGGAACAATCAGCCTTTGGAAGTGGATGAAAGTGCATGATAAGAATGATCCACTGTTGTCTCGGAACCACTTGACTGTTCTCCTTGCTATTAATAGTGGGGTTCAGGCAGAATGGAGAGGGGGAGGAAGAGGTGGAAGAACTCCCTAGACAGCAATTAATACAGAAAGTTGTTAGCACTTGCATTAGCACCTGGCAGTGTCCCGGAGAGAGAACACTGATGGGACCTAGCCAGGCTGAGCAGATTGGGTCCCACGTGCCTGGCACGTGACATGAGCCTTGGTGGCTCCATTAAAAGCTTGTGTGGATGTTGCACTGCACAGTTATCAGAGACTGGAACTTCCAAGGAGCTGAGGACCTAGATTTGTTTTGAGACTGACACTGGTGCCAGCTTAGCACTGGTGACTTGAAAGAGTCACCAGGTGAAACCTAACTGGTACTGAAAATGTGCTGTGAATGTTACATAGAGATGTGAGTCTCCTGCCAGACTGAATGGACAGCGATGTTCTCCTGCTGACAAACTGCTCCTCCTTTCCATATGTTAAGATGTGAAATACAAAGTGTTTCTGTCCAGCAAATTGCAAAAAAGGATGTTCAAAAATC